GCAGACAAGGAGCGAGCCCGCAAGGCTGCTGACAGGATTGCTCGCCTGGGACAGCAGTGGTACAGTGGGACTCTGCAGGCCCTGTTTGCTGAGTTTGAGCACTCACCTCCACCCCTGGGTTGGTCATGTCTACTGACGATCTGCTGACCAACTTTTGCAGGGCAGCGCCTGAGAAGTTTGTTGTTGCACTATACAGCGTTGGGCACAAGGACTGGAGGTCCTTTGGCCGTGCAGCCTTGGACATGGAGGCAAAGCTTCATGTCCAGGCCCCATCCTCTGACAGGAGGAAAGGTGTCTTCCCTAGAGGTGGCAGAAAGGGAAAGGCAGCCTTCACTCACGCGGGGTCTGCATCAGGTTCAGATACAGATTCCCAGGCTGCACCTTCAGCTGGGACTGGAGCTGCACCTGATCCAGATATTGCAACAGCCCTGACTCAGGCTGTTTTGGGAGTTCTGCAGCAACAGAAGAAATTTTCCCCCACCAGAGCCTCAGCCAGTGAAAAGGGGAAGGAAAAGGGACGTCGACCTTCCTCTTCCCAGCTCCCTAACTTGCCCAAAGACGTCCGCATGCCAGCTGACCCTCTCAATCCCTCCACACTCCCCTGGCATGACCTCAAGATCCAGGAGGGAGTCTGGAGAAGAAGGAAGGAGAGAGGGGTCTGCCTGAGATGTGAGGGACATCACTTCCTAAGGGACTGCCCTTACATGCCAGGCCCAGGGCACTCGAAAAACTGAAACAGCCCCTGGGGACTGCAGTTCCCCCCAGTGCTGCACCTTCATCTACTCAGGTAGGTGAATCTGCAGTTGTTTCAGTTGAGACAGGTTCAGATTGTTTGGGGACTGCGCGGGCAGCATCCTTTTGTTATGAGGATCCTGACCCGGATCAAGGATTAAAGGAGCATGAGGCTCAGATGATTGCTCCCTTTCCTTCATCACATCCTGAATCTTCACTGTCTCTCGTTCTTGTGGGAGTTGTAATTGTCAGTATTTGAAGGTGCAAATTCTGGCGACACTCAATGTCCTGATCAGGGTTAGCTGCTAGTTAGCAATCTTCCCATTTTCCTGGCATTGTGTGGCGAGTGTTATTGTCCCAGGCTTTCAACATCCTGCCCGGACTCCTTATCTGTTCGATAAGTTGAGCACCAACACATTTATTGTTGCCAGCCTGGATGATAATTAGTCATATTTCACATGGTGAGATTGCTTGTTCTACTCGTAATCTCTTATTGCAGTCCTTCAGTTCTACTGACCGACTTCCATCCAGTTTATGTCTACTAAGGGGTACACACTCGGTCCGACGACTATAGCCAGCAATTTCGAGTTTCCCTTCTACTGGCATCACAGTTTATTGTGAAGGTCATGAGTATAGGAACTGTATTGCAGCAATAGGGTGTCGTTCGTGGATCTCAACTTTTCAGAAGTGGTCGATTGCATAATAGTCAAAAACCAGGTTATCCGTGGTTCTTGATGCAATCGAGACCAACTGACACTTTGAGATTGCCTCCTCCTGACCTTGCTGTTACAGCATAGATCAGGGGCATAGGTTACCCCGTGAGTATCTCAGGTTTTCCTCTTCAGGCAAGAGTGTTATCTCCATAACCCCCTTCATCTGCTGGATCATTACCAGAAAGTGAAGTATGGGCGCGGAGGTCCGTTTTCCCCGGGGGGGGGTAAGTATGTAATGAAACCTGCAGATTCTCAGTGGACTGTACAGTAGGCCGAGGGTGAAGCGTGGGCCTCGTCTCGGTCGGGTCCTAGTTTAGGTCAGATTCGTAATTTTGTTTGGTTGAGGGCTAACCGAGAGACCTGCCTGTAAGGGATATTCATGAGCGACATATCGGCAAATTTGGGAAAAATACAGGCCCAACAATAATTCGATATTCCTACAGATGACCCTAACTGCGTGAGCAGACCCGGGCTACCCCAAGGCGGACAGGCCCTGAGGGCCTATACCGATAGACGGTCCTATAGCCTATAGGCGGGTAGGGAGAGGCCGAGAGGCCGAAACAGCAACGGTACCGTTCAGTCAGTCAGTCTGGTCTAGGGCTAGGCTAGAGTAGTGTAGTCTATAGATAGGTTAGGCCCATCGGTTCAGGACTTTTGGCAGTTCATTTCTC